GTGGGGTGTGTGTGTGGTGGTACTCATTTTGTGGTTGCATGTGTACTACCTCACCTAGTTGTGGCTTTGGGGCATGTGTGTGTGCTGCAGAACGAGGTGATGTATGGGTGTGCATGTATGTGTTGTATGCACTTAAGACCTAATTTTGGGGTTGCAGGGGTCAAGTCTTGGCTCCGGGCCCCCCCCTTTACGGGTTGTGAGGTCCCACACCCCTTTGCTCCATGACTTTTGGTGTGTGTGTATGTATTTGGGGTGTATGTGTGCATTTGTGTATATGTTGTTTTTTTATGTGTTGAAATTTTTTAAAATTTCTACGTGTTGCGGGGGCCGGGGTCTCGCTCCTGGCTCCATGTTTTCCTGCATGTTTCACATGTGTATGCAATTTGTGTGTGTTCTTTGTGTGTATGTGGGGCGTATGCAATTTGTGTGTGTGTGTGTTTTGTGTGTGTGGTGTGTGGTGTGTTTTGTTTGGGGTTGTGTTGTTTGTTGTTTACTCCCCTGTATGGGGATGCAGGGGTCTTTCACAGTTTTGGGCTTGTGTGTGCATTATGTGATTTGTGAATTTTATTTATCAGTTTAATATTGCCCAGTTTATGTACTGTTTAAATTTTTTTATCAGTTAATTCAGAAAATTTTTTTTTATCTTCCCGCTTTTATTTCTTATTTTTTATAATTAGTCTTTTGTTTTGCATACTACTAAAATTTCTTGGGAGACAAGTATGTACGCTACTTTTTTCCGGCAGTATATGCTTCCCATGCTTCTCCACTCGAAATGGGGAATGATCTGAAAAAAAGATGAAAGTAATATGTGTGTGCATATTAATTCCTTAATCTGATGCACTACTTGACGAGAGTTTACAGATATTATATTTCTTTTGTTTCCATCAGAAATACCAAAAGCTGTGTTTAGATGATAATACAAAGTAAACTGAAGTGGCACAGGTAATGCCAAGTAACATTTCCCCCCAACCACTTGATGGACAAATAGTGCCTTTTAAAAATATTTATATAAAAAACCAGCAGAATTGAAGTTTTTTATAAGCAGCATTTGTCCCCAACTAGATGGTATTAAATAGTGACCTTAACAATTTTTAGAAAACAGCGCTTTTAAAAATAAGCAAAGTACTTTTGCCCCCAATAGTGGCTATTAAAATTAAAAACCAAAAAAATATTGACAAGCTAAATCTGGTGCATGACCCCTGTTTTTATCAAGAAAGAGTATTAGACACAAAAGGGGCTACATTAAAAAGTTTTTCACTACATATATAAGTGGGGGGCAGAAAAATTAAGAAGCAGGTGGGAATAGATCCTGAGTTTCCTTCCCTTTTACAATGGAAACTGAGCAATTTTCCCCCAAAAAAATCTGTAAAATTAAAAAAAATCTTAGCAGTTAAAACCACCTTATACTGTTTGTTTAAGCAAAAAAAAAACATTTTTTTATTTCAGAAAAGGGCTGATATTTACAGCCCAAAATTTTTTTTTGGTTGCTTGCCCGATTTCTGAAGTTCCCAATTTACAAACTTTCAACGCCAAGATTATGGTACCCATGGGAAATTTGCCAGTTTCTATTGCTCCTGTTCGGCATACTTCCCTGACTTTGGGTTCCGGCTGACCCCCGTAAAAGGGAGCCGCATCCTTACTCCTTTTACAAGGATTTTGAGCGAAGCAGTGGGTGGGGGTGGCCAAAAACCCGGCATTCCCGATCCCCCCCCTACAGATTCTGGAACAGCGCAAAGAACCCTTTTGGAAGCATGACTTGGGCGTAATTGTGTCGCCCAACCCCCGGGGTTGGGCCCCCAGATCAGGGTGCTACAGGGTTCTGAAACACATACCCCAATCACCCCAATGTTGACAGTTGGAGGATATTTGCTGGTGATGACCTCCAGAATAAAAAAACAGGTGCCCACATTAAGTGGCCAAACCGGACCCTTCAGGCTTTCTGGTCGTAATGCATTTTAAGGTCTCAGCTTGCTGCTGGTGTAAGGGCTTTAGAAATATTAAACTTTATGAAGCTGACCGACTTTTAGACTTTGGGGTTTTTTCAACACCTTGAATATATCTTTGCTTATCTACCCAAAAAAAGGGAACAGGTTTATTTTTGCTACACAAACTCGATGTGATCGTCTTTTTACGTGCAATGAGGGGAAACCCTTTTAAAGGGGAAGGTAAAAGAAAAAGAGGCAACAGGGGATGAAAGAACACCACTTTCTCTTCAGAATTACTACATGGTGTGTGAAGAGGAAAAGATATTAGGGATTTTAGTCCAAATACTAAAAGAAGGGATTCCATGAAAAACAATGTGATCTTTCTCCCTACTTGTGCTTGTGTGGAATATTTTACAGATATACTCAGAGCATTATTATTAAATATAAAGATTTTATCTTTACATGGCAAAATGAAGGAGAAGAGGTTTAAAATATTTGATAAATTCGTGTTAAATTGAGGCAGGAGTTTTTTATGCACACGATGTAATGGTGTCGGGCGTAGGATATCCCTAGTGTGATTGGGTTATATTCAGTCCGATCCACCTCTACAGCTCGCTTTTGATTCATCGTTGTGGTCGTACTGCAAGAAGTGGCATTGAGGGTGAATCAGTCTTGTCCTTCTGGTCAGTGTGAAACAGAATATTATGTAGAATTTATCCATCTAACAATGAAGTTACTTTGCATGAAATGGTAGCCCAAAAGATGTACCGAAGCTTTGAATAAGTTGAGGAAAATTTCGCTGGAGAGGACCGTTCGGTAAATGGACAAAGCAAAACGAGCATTTGTTTTCATTTATTCAGTCATATGCAAAACATGAGTGTAATGTTGATTCTTAACATTCAAGCAGTTGAATTTAGGTATACTGCTGCTGGTTTTGGTTTATAAGATTGCCCAGAATGCCTGAATTGAAAGGTGTACTATACTGATTTTGTGTTGTAAAATGAATTATAACACAATTGCTTTATAAGTGGATAAGCAGAAGGAAAAAATTGTCGAAGCCAGAAGAAAACTCAGACCTATGAGAGGATGGTCAGGGGCCTGGATGTAGCCTTACTAACAAAAGTGGAAGCTTGGTCTCAAAATAAAGAAAGAAAGAAATGACGAAAAATGAGGATATGAAAGTAAGTGATGAAGGTGGGCACAGGTTTTACTCAAGAAGAATTAGATGATTTGGATGAGACTTTTCTTATGGTAAAAAAACTGAAAAAAGGAAAAATCAAACCCACAGATTTTGACAAACATTTTGGTTGTGAAGTTGAAGGTGAAACAGAAGAAAATAACGAGGGGAAGCTGCTGGTGGATGTTAGTGAGGAGAATGTGAAATGTTAAATCATGGTGGATTTCTTAAAGTTCATGTTCATTGTAATTTAGTTACTCAAAGTTTATGATTCCTTAACTCCTGAACCAGTACCAATTATACCTTATCAATATATGTACAGTATTTGTATAACTTACCACTATTTAGATGTTCTATAAAGTGGAAAGGTACTTGAAAAAATATATTTTGATAGGCGACAGCAAAAAGTCACTTTTTTTATACGACAGGTTGTTATAAATTCTACATAACTAACTGCATTGCAAGAATTACTGTATTTTAAATAAAAACACTACAGTATAAATATGTATATGGAGTGTTACATATGAGTTTTATTAATCAAAATTTAATAGTTCTATTTAAATTTTATTAAAGAATATTGGTGAAACTCCACAAAATGGACTAATAGGGAGGGGGTGTCCACTGTAACAAAAATCTCTTACATTCAAATTAAAGTGCTTTATTTCAGATTTTTGTACAAAAATATAATAATTAGACATGTCATATAATAACATAAGAAAGAAGGAACACTGTAACAGGTCCTACTGGCTATGCGAGGCAGGCTCCAATTCTACACAAGCTTAAGCCAACGTCTTTCTTTGACCTAGTCGGTCAGTCATGTCACTTCATGGGGGAAGCCACAAGCTAGTCAGGTCCGACTCACAACAATATGCATTTATCAAACCTATTTTAAAAGTACACAAACGTCTTAGCTTCTTTGACGGTACGGTAGTTGTTCCACTCACCCACAACTTATTACCAAACCAATGGCTTTTCCTATATCCTTTCGGAATCTAATTTTTCAATTTAAACCATTGCAGCTAGTCCTGTCTATGTTATGATTATTTTTAGCAACACTGTTTACTTCCCTCTTATTAATTCCTGTTTTCCATTTGTATACACCTCAAACTTATCTTCCCTAATTCTATGCTTTTAGTGAGTGCAGATTCAGGGCCTCTGTCTATCCTGTAGGGAAGTTTCTGATAAATGGGATTAACTTTGCCGTCCTCCTTTGTAGGTTTTCCAGTGCTTTTTTACTATATCCATTCTGTAATACGGTGACCAAAAACTGAGCAGCATAATTTAATGAAAGCTAACTAGATATATAGTGTTTTGAACAACCTGAGGATTCTATTATTTATTATTCTTGCTATTGAAGCCAAGGATTTCTGTTAGCTTTAATTG